CCCTGAATCCCATCACATTTCTGTTCCTCCTTGCCAGGTTCCTCAGCAATACAGTCCCAGTCCCCACAGTCCCTCCTGTTGACAGGAGCTCGACTGCAAAGCTCGCCCACCCTGACGGACATTTACCAGAACAAGCAGAAGCTTCGGAAGCAGCATTCCGATCCCGTCTGCCCGTCCTACACGGGCTGCAGCTATGGCCATTCACCCCAACCCCCACGGCCGGTCAGCCTGGGGACATCGCCCACCAAACACATGGGGTCGTCTCCACGGAGCTCGGACTGGCCCTTCAAAACGCCCCTGCCCACCATCATTGGATCTCCCACCAAGGTGAGTCTTAGAAGCGGCTATGCGGAGAACCGGTTTGGCTTAGTGGTTAAGGCACCACCTGTAGGGGACCGTGAATTGTAGTCCATCCTTAGGTGTGAAAGCCGACTGCGTGACTTTAGGCCAGTCACCAGGAGACGGTGAGTTCTAGTCCCGCCTTAGGCTTGAAAGCTGGCTGGGTGACTTTGGGCCAATCATCAGGAGATGATGAGTTGTAGTCCTGCCTTAGGCTTGAAAGCTGGCTGGGTGATTTGGGGCCAATCACCAGGAGACTGTGAGTTCTAGTCCTGCCTTATGCATGAAAACTGATTGAGTGACTTTGGGCCAATCACCAGGAGACGGTGAGTTCTAGTCCTGCTTTAAGCATGAAAGCTGGCTAAGTGACTTGGGGACAGTCAAGAGGAGACGGTGAGTTCTAGTCCTGCCTTAGTGTGGAAGTCAGCTAGGTGACTTTGACCCAATCCCCAGGGGATGGTGAGTTCCAGTCCCGCCTGAGGCATGCAAGTGGGTGACTTTGGGCCAAGCAACAGGAGACAGTAAATCCCTTTTGGGGGTCTGTTATAACCTTGAATGGCCTACTTGTATTCTCCTCGAGACCTTGAGATTGTGGACAATCCCTTAAATAGGAGCCAGCCGTATGCTGCAGCTGCCAAAAAGGCCAACACAGTGCTGGGCTGCATTAACAGAGGGATAGAATCAAGATCACGTGAAGGGATAATACCACTTTACAAAGCCTTGGTAAGGCCACACTTGGAATACTGCATCCAGATTTGGTCACCACGATGGTAAAAAGATGCTGAGACTCTAGAAAGAGTACAGAGAAGAGCAACAAAGATGATTAGGGGACTGGAGGCTAAAGCATATAAGGAAAGGCTGCTGGAATTGGGTATGTCTAGTTTCATGAAGAGAAGGACGAGGGGGGACATGATAGCAGTCTTCCAGTATCTGAGGGGCTGCCCCAAAGAAGAAGGGAGTCAGTTTATTCTCCAAAGCACCAGAAGGCAGGACAAGAAGCAACAGATGAAAACTAATCGAAAAGAGAAGCAACCTAGAACAGTGATGGCGAACCTTTTAGAGACTGAGTGCCCAAACTGGAACCCAAAACCCACTTAGGTATCGTCGAGTGCCGTGTGGGTGTGGCCCATTGGGTGGGCGTGGCTGTGGTGGTAACGGCAGATTGGGTGGGTCTAAAAAGTTCAATCAATCCCAACTTTGCGAGATCTTTTTTTTCCCTGCAAGAAGTTGAAATTGATTGATTGATTGAACCTTTTTTTTCGCACACTGCGGCGGAGGCCTAAAGCGAAAAGGTTTTATAAAACCCAACTGAAGGCCTAGGACTTGGGCGACGGCGCATGTGCCCACAGAGAGGGCTCTGACTGCCGCCTCTGGCACCCGTGCCATAGGTTCGCCACCACTGACCTAGAACTAAGGAGAAATTTCCTGACAGTTAGAACAATTAACCAGTGGAACAACCTGCCTCCAGAAGTGGTGAATGCTCCAACACTGGAAGTTTTTAAGAAGAGACTGGACAGACATTTGTCTGAAATGGTATAGGGTTTCCTGCCTGAGCAGGGAGTTGGACTCGATGACCTCCAAGGTCCCTTCCAACTTTATTATTATTAGTAGTAGTAGTATTAGTATTATTATTAGTATTATTATTTATTGGGAGACACTTGCTTAATGTTGAGATAGCCATTTTCTCTAAATCCCCAAACCATTGGCTCCTGCCTCACCAGGTTCCTGCTTTACACCCAAGTGACAATGGTGGGTTACATATCTTTTTCCAAGTGGTTGTAAAAGGGTTCTTTATTGTCAAGGAACTGCTCGGCAACAGAACATCGGAGAGTACCTAAAGTTTATTTTTATATATGGGGCGATGTTTTGGTTTGGGGGAAAGTAAGGTTGGGGAAAAAAAGCTATGCTAAATCTTAAGCTTTAGTTGTTATTCGCAGTTACATAACCAGGCTTTTAATTTGGACATTTTTAAAGCACTGGTTTAATATTCTTAAACTGTTGCCTTCGTTTTAGTACAGGTGGTCAGTCCTCCACATACGACAAAGATTGAGCCCAACATTTCCATCGTTAAGTGAGGCCGTTGTTCATGGATTCTGCCCCATGTTATGTCCTTTTTGCCAGAGTGGTTAAGCAAATCCCTGCAGATATTAAGTGAATCGTGCAGTTGTTGCACAAATCTGACTTTTCCATTGACTTTGCTTTGTCAGAAGGTCGCAAAGGGGGATTGCAGGGGCCCTGGGACAGTGCAATTGTCATAAATTCATGCCAGTTGCCAAGCATCCAAATCTTGGATCACCTGACCACGGGGATGCGGCAACAGTCATAAGAATGAACTGTTGTAAGTCGAAGACTACCTGTAACTTCAGATGGTCACTAAATGAACTGTTGTAAGTCGAGGACCACCTGTAATATCTGGCCTCTTGGAACCTGAAAGTAACTAATAATTCACCGTCTCCTGGTGATTGGCCCAAAGTCACCCAATTGGCTTTTGTGCCTAAGGTGGGACTAGAACTCACCGTCTCCTGGTGATTGGCCCAAAGTCACCCAGCTGGCTTTCGTGCCTAAGGCAGGACTAGAACTCACCGTCTCCTGGTGATTGGCCCGAAGTCACCCCATTGGCTTTCGTGCCTAAGGCGGGACTAGAACTCACTGTCTCCTGGTGATAGGCTCAGAGTCACCCAGTTGGCTTTCATGCCTAAGGCAGGACTGGAACTCACCGTCTCCTGGCGATTGGCCCAAAGTCACCCCATTGGCTTTCATGCCTAAGGCATGTTGGAAACGTGATTAAAATACCAACAAAATTGGATTGGTAAGAAAAAGAGGTTATTCTGCAGAAAATAGAAAAGCGGTTTGCAAAGTGCGGTGGATCCTGGTGAGAGACTTCAACAGGAAGTTCTAAACCCAGAGACTACACCAAAATATTCAAACTCACAACATTATATACACCAGTGGTTCTCAACCTGTGGGTCGGGACCCCATTTGGGGTCGATTGACCATTTCACGGGGGTCGCCAAGCAAGGCTGTCCGCCATTTTTTTTGTCCGCCATTTTTTTCCCCTTTTCCGGCGGGTGCCTTACCTCCCTTGAGCTGGGCCAGCTGGTGGTCGGCCTGCTCCGTCTCTGCCGCTTGCCAGCTACGCCTCGGCCGGCGCAGGGGGCGGAACCACGCATGCGCGGCGCTCCCGGGCAGGGAAAGTNTCACCGTCTCCTGGTGATTGGCCCAAAGTCACCCAATTGGCTTTCGTGCCTAAGGCGGGACTAGAACTCACCGTCTCCTGGTGATTGGCCCAAAGTCACCCAATTGGCTTTCGTGCCTAAGGCGGGACTAGAACTCACCGTCTCCTGGTGATTGGCCCAAAGTCACCCAATTGGCTTTCGTGCCTAAGGCGGGACTAGAACTCACCGTCTCCTGGCGATTGGCCCAAAGTCACCCAGCTGGCTTTCATGCCTAAGGCAGTACTAGAACTCAGCGTCTCCTGGTGATTGGCCCAAAGTCACCCAATTGACTTTCATGCCTAAGGCATGTTGGAAACGTGATTAAAATACCAACAAAATTGGATTGGTAAGAAAAACAGTTTATTCTGCAGAAAATAGAAAAGCGGTTTGCAAAGCGCGGTGGATCCTGGTGAGAGACTTCAACAGGAAGTTCTAAACCCAGAGACCACACCAAAATATTCAAACTCACATTATATACACCAGTGGTTCTCAACCTGTGGGTCGGGACCCCATTTGGGGTCGATCGACCATTTCACGGGGGTCGCCAAGCAAGGCTGTCCGCCATTTTTTTTGTCCGCCATTTTTTCCCCTTTTCCGGCGGGTGCCTTACCTCCCTGGGGCTGGGCCAGCTGGTGGTCGGCCTGCTCCGTCTCTGCCGCTTGCTAGCTACGCCTCGGCCGGCGCAGGGGGCAGAACCACGCATGCACGGCACTCCCGGGCAGGGAAAGCCCTCGACTTACGACCGGTTGGGTAGTCCTCGACTTACAACCGGTTTAGTCCTCGACTTACGACCGGTTTAGTCCTCGACTTACGACCGGTTGGGGTCGCGGCATTAAAAAGGTTGAGAACCACTGATATACACTCCTATGGCGACGCCCCTGTCCCCTCCCCTTAGGTCCCATTTGAGAGGACTTCTGGGGGGGGGGGAGACAATCTGTCAGATCCGCCTAGCCCAGTGGTTCTCAACCTTTTTAATGCCGTGACCCCAACCGGTCGTAAAACGAGGACTAAAGCGGTCGTAAGTCGAGGACTAAAGCGGTCGTAAGTCGAGGACTACCCAACCGGTCTTAAGTCGAGGACTTTCCCTGCCCGGGAGCGCCGCGCATGCGTGGTTCCGCCCCCTGCGCCGGCCGAGGCGTAGCTGGCAAGCGGCAGAGACGGAGCAGGCCGACCACCAGCTGGCCCAGCCCAAGGGAGGTAAGGCACCCGCCAGAAAAGGGGGGGGAAAATGGCGGACAAAAAAAATGGCGGACAAAAAAAATGGCGGACAGCCTTGCTTGGCGACCCCCGTGAAATGGTCGATCGACCCCAAATGGGGTCCCGACCCACAGGTTGAGAACCACTGGCCTAGCCAGAATACATCATCCCTCTCTCCTCCCCCCCCCCTTACATTGTTTAGAACTTCTCTCTGCCATCCTTTTGTCTTGTTTAGTGTGTCTTCTAGCCAAGCCTCCTGAAATCTAGTGCCTACAGTGCAGGGCTTGGCTAATCCTTCTATTGTTAATCAATTGTGACCCTTTTATTTTTAAACTTCTTCCTTTCTCACAGGCAGAACTAGAACTTACAGTCTCCTGGTGATTGGCCCAGAGTCACCCAGTTGGCTTTGTTACCTAAGGCAGGACTAGAACTCACCGTCTCCTGGTTTCTGCTTTGGAGACTAGACTGCAGCTGCCATCCCTAAAGATGAGGCAGGCAGATAAGCAGGAAGCCAAGATCCCTTCAGGGGATGGATAGATAAGAAGGAAACAAGTCATTAAGGAGACAAAGGAAGAGAAATCCCCTGACCCAGACAAAAGGATTGAAGCCTGAGCACATGGGAAGCCCCTCCCCCAAATCCCAGACAGCTCCCAGACTTGAGAATCCACAAGGCAAATGTAACTGCCAATCTTGAGAACAGACAAAGCCAGGACTTTGAGGGAATAAGAGGGGTCCTGAAGCTCACCCACCCTTTGAGTGGTCCTTAGATCCAGACTTGGTGGCTTCTGTACCTGTGGCTACTGCCTTTGCAGCCTCGTTGAGAAAGATGTGGGTAAGTGTGGATGAGTGTCTGTGTGTGTAGGTGGGGCAGAGCTAATGAAACAGAATAACAAGAGTTGGAAGGGACCGTGGTGGTCTTCTAGTCCAACCCCCTGCTCAGGCAGGAGACCCTATGCCATTTCAGACAGATGGCTGTCCAGTCTCTTCTTAAAAACCTCCGGTGATGGAGCACCCACAACTTCTGAAGGCAGGTTGTTCCAGTGATTAATTGTTCTCACTGTTAGGAAATTCCTCCTTAGTTCCAGGTTGCTTCTCTCCTTGATTAGTTTCCATCCGTTGCTTCTTGTCCTGCCTTCAGGTGCTTTGGAGAATAGCTTGACTCCTTCTTCTTTGGGACAGCCCCTGAGATACTGGAAGACTGCTATCACGTCCCCCCTTGCCCTTCCCTTCATTAAACTAGACATACCCAATTCCAGCAGCCGTTCCTTATATGCTTTAGCCTCCAGTCCCCTAATCATCTTTGTTGCTCTTCTCTGCACTCTTTCTAGAGTCTCAGCATCTTTTTTACATCGTGGTGACCAAAACTGGATGCCACATTCCAAGTGTGGCCTTACCAAGGCCTTGTAAAGTGGTATTAACCCTTCATGTGATCTTGATTCTATCCCTCTGTTAATGCAGCCTAAAATTGTGTTGGCTTTTTTGGCAGCTGCAGCACACGGCTGGCTCATATTTAAGTGATTGTCCACTAGGACTCCAAGCTCCTATCGTAGTTACTACAATTATAATGTACATTGTAATCAGTAAAGTTTTGCTGTTAATTTTAAATTCACTGGATCTCTTGTCTATTCTAAAGAATTGGTTGGGTCTCACTGTTCACTTGGAAATGATTTGAGTGTGGCTGTTGACCATGGCAGTGAGTGTGTGGGTGAGTGTTGTTGTTGTTAGTTGCGAAGTCGTGTCCGACCCATTGTGACCCCATGGACAACGTTCCTCCAGGCCTTCCTGTCCTCTACCATCTTCTAGAGTCCATTGAAGCTCACGCCTCCTGCTTCAGTGACTCCATCCAGCCACCTCCTTCTCTGTCGTCCCCTTCTTCTCTTGCCCTCCATCTTTCCCAGCATCGGGCTCTTCTCCAGTGAGTCCTTCCTTCTCATTAGGTGGCCAAAGTACTTGAGTTTCAACTTCAGGATCTGGCCTTCTAAAGAGCAGTCGGGGTTGATCTCCTCCAGGACTGACCGGTTGGATCGCCTTGCAGTCCAGGGGACTCGCAGGAGTCTTCTCCAGCACCATAGTCCAAAGGCCTCCATTCTTTGGCGCTCGGCTTTGTGGGTGAGGGACCATAAGCCAAACTCAGGAGCGCACGTAACATAGGCCAGCAGCTTCACCACCAACCATCCTATGTCAGGTGACAGCTAAATCAGCTCAGCACTTCTTTTGAAGGGGTTTAATGACTCTGTCCACTTAACTACAGGTAGTCCTCAAGTTATAACAGTTCATTTAGTGACCGAAATCAGCAGTGCTGAGAAAAGTGACTTATGACGTCTAGTTTAATGAAGAGAAGGACGAGGAGGGACAGGATAGTAAGTCTTCCAGTATCTCAGGGGCTGCCCCAAAGAAGAGGGAGTCAAGTTCTTCTCCAGAGCACCTGAAGGCAGGACAAGAAGCAACGGATGGAAACTAATTAAGGAGAGAAGCAACCTAGAACTAAGGAGAAACTTCCTGACAGTTAGAACAATTAACCAGTGGAACAGCCTGCCTCCAGAAGCGGTGAATGCTCCAACAGTGGAAGTTTTTAAGAAGAGACTGGACAGCCACTTGTCCGAAATGGTATAGGGTTTCCTGCCTGAGCAGGGGGTTGGACTAGATGACCTCAAAGGTCCCTTCCAACTTTATTATTAGTAGTAGTATTTTTACACTTACAGCAACTGCAGCCTCCCCACGATCAGGGGATCCAAATTCAGACCCTTGGCAACCGACTCATATTTACGACGGGCTCAGTGTCCCGGGGTCACGCGATCCCCTTTTGTGACTTCTGACGAGGGGAACACCAGACTCATTTCACAACCCTGTTACTAACTTAACGGCGGTGATTCCACTTAACAGCCGGGCCACGAGAAGTCGTAAAACAGAGCAAAATTCACTGAACACAAACGTCTCACTTAGCAACAGAGTTTTTGGGGGTCCATTGTGGTCGTAAATCGAGGATCGTCTGTAATTAAAAATTCAGGAAGGCCCCTTTATTTTATTTTATTTTATTTTTCTTCTTTTTCTCTTATAGGCAACGGCTCCTTTCAAAATTCCCAAGACCCAAGCATCGTCTAACTTGGTGGGCCTGGTCAGTCGGCAGGGGCCCTCGGAGCTTCTGCTACCGCAGCCGAAGGAGATGGGGCAGACCAGAGAGCTCCCACCTTTCCACTCCACACAAAGCAGCGAGAAGCAGGCAAGAGATCAACACGGCAAGATGATCTTTGGCAGGTACGGATCCCCATCCTACATTCTGCAGGCAGCCCTCAAACCTATACCATTCGTTTAGTGACCGGTAAAAGCTACAGTAGCACTGAACAAATGTCCATGGAGATTCTCAGTCCTCCAGGTCAGGGCTTTTCAACCTTTTCACCCATTGTACCACTTTTAGGATACGGCAACATCCGAGTACCACCAGTCGCCTAGCAAGGTGTCAACAACTTGATGACCCCCTCCCCCAAAAAAGGACAAAAAGTGATAAAGTACAGGTAGTCCTCCACTTACAACAGTTTGCTTGGTGACCGTTCGAAGTCACAATGGCACTGAAAAAAGTGCCCCCCAAGCCACAGCCGAGCAAGATACCTGCCTGTCCACCCGGCCGCACTCTTCCTCCTGTCCGAGGTTTTCATTGTTGTGAGCATTTCTGTTGAGGATTGGCAGCGGGGGTGGGGTGGGGTGGTGTTTGGTTTTTATTCCCCCCCCTCTGCTGAGTGGTTGCAGCAGGTTTTGGTCACTTCACATGACCCTGGGACACTGTGACCGTCATAAATATGAATCAGTTGCCAGGCATCTGAATGTAAATCACAAGACCCTGGAGATGCTGCAACATTCCAGCTGATCGGCGCTTCTTCAGGACTCAGCAGAAGCGCCAGGATCAGCGCCGAGCTCCAGCTGGAGCCTGGCACTGATCCTGGTGCTTCCGCTAAGCCCTGACAGCCCCAAAGAAGCGCCGCTCAGCTGGAAAATGGCACTGATCCTGGCACTTCTGCTGAGCCCCGACAGCCCTGCAGCTCCAGCCGTCTCTCGCTCAGGCTTGTGCGGTGCTGCCACCGGTTCAGCTCATTCCCCTCCCCCACTACCACTTTTCTAGGATGGTTGCGTACCACCTGCCAGGTGCCAATGTACCACAGGTGGTACCCGTACCACTGATTGAAAAGGCCTGCTCCAGGTCATCCTGGTTGTCCCAAAGGTGCTTTTTTCAGGAGGCCCCTGGACTTTCTTGTTTTTCCTTTGAAGACGTTTCCCTTCTCATCCCAGAAGCTTCTTCAGCTCTGGCTGGCTCCTTTTTCGAGCATTCCTGCTTTAACCAAACCTGGCCAAATAGGAAGAGAAAATTAAACACTACGAATATGTTTGATTTATTGATTAATCTAGGGCTTAGGCAATATATACAATGGTTTTTGATTTATTAAAGGGGATATTGTGTTATTAAGTAGATGATTTAATATGGTGGGAAATAGATAAACTCTTAGGAAATAGAACAAGGTTATATTTTCGAGCATTCCTGCTTTAATCAAACCTGCCCCACCACCAGCGGTTGCATCACCACGAGCGTCACAGGCGGCGCACGCGCCCACGGCCCCACTCACGTGAGCAGTGGGTGTTCGAGTGCAGGCGCGTGCATGCATTTACCCCCCCCCCACACACACACACACAAAACCATTCCTCCTTTCCACCCTCTCCCTGCTCCAGGCCGCCAATCTCAAAAGGCTGGGGGGAACTCTGCTGTACTTCGTTGCACGGTCCACCAAATGTTCAAACTGGATTTGGCATTTTTGCCTGCCTATTTGAGTCCTTCCCAAAGGCCTGGGATTAGGCAGATGTTGATGTTTGATGGACTTTCTTGTTTTTCCTTTGAAGACATTTCACTTCTCATCCCAGAAGCTTTCTTCAGTTCTGACTAGCTGGTGGGGAATGGAAGGATTTATACTCCTTGCAGATAGCTGGTCATTTGCCTTCTTCTAGAGAGTCGTTGAGGCCGCCTCATGACTTGTGGACTTCAACTCCCAGAATTCCTGGGCCAGCATGGGGGAACTACAGCCCCTTCGTGACTTGTGGACTTCAATTCCCAGAATTCCTCAGCCAGCATGCCTGGCTGAGGAATTCTGGGAGTTGAAGTCCACAAGTCATAAAAGGGCCAAGTTGGAAGACCCCTGGTATAAGTAGTCCTCTACTTACACCCAACATTTCTACCGCTACGCAAGACAGCCGTGAGTTTTGCCCCTCATTTTATGACTTTTTCTTGCCATCGTTGTTAAATGAATCCCTGCAGTTATGAAGTTAGTAACAAGAGTTGTGAAGTGAATCTGACTTCCCCCGTTGATTTTGCTTGTCAGGAGGTCGTAAAAGGGGATCACAAGACCCCGGGATGTGGCGACCGTCATAAATACGAGGCAGTTGCCAAACGCCTGAAATTTGATCACGTGACCCTGGGGACGCTGCAGCGGTCGTCGTGAGGACTACTTATACCAGGGGTCTTCCAACTTGGCCCTTTTATGACTTGTGGACTTCAACTCCCAGAATTCCTCAGCCAGGCATGCTGGCTGAGGAATTCTGGGAATTGAAGTCCACAAGTCACGAAGGGACCATAGTTCCCCCATGCTGGCTCAGAAATTCTGGGAGTTGAAGTCCGCAAGTCATGAAGGGGCCATAGTTCCCCCATGCTGGCTGAGGAATTCTGGGAATTGAAGTCCGCAAGTCATGAAGGGGCCACAGTTCCCCCATGCTAGCTGAAGAATTCTGGGAGTTGATGTCCACAAGTCATGAAGGGGCCAAGTTTGAAGACCCCAGCTTGTGGACATCAACTCCCAGAATTCCTCAGACAGGCACTCTGGCTGAGGAATTCTGGGAGTTGAAGTCCAAAAGTCATCAAAGGGCCAAGTTTGAAAACCCCTGACTTATACCCATAGATCCAAACGTTCCATTATGTGCTTGCTGTGTTTTAAGAGGCCAGGTGGATCGACTCGGTTTCCCTGGTCTGAAGGACCAGCTGAGAGACAAACCATCATGGAGAAAATCTACCTAGGTTAGTTGCGAAGTGTCAACAACAGCTTGATGGCGCATAATCACTCAGTTCGGGTTTTACGATTGCTGATAAACTCTTGACTCTTCCAACCAGGCCCTGGGAACAAATAAGCAATGAGGCTGCTCCCTCTTGCGTTGAGATGCCAACATATATATATATACATACACACTTGGGTGTGTCCATATTGTGTCCAAATAATCACGATCACCAAGAGTAGATAAAATGTTTATAAACAATTAAAAAGTTTAAAAACAGTTTAAAAGCAATAAAACATTTAAAATTATCGGCAACCGGGTTGCCGATAATTTTAAATGTTTTATTGCTTTTAAACTGTTTTTAAACTTTTTAATTGTTTATAAACATTCTATCTACTCTTGGTGATCGTGATTATTTGGACACAATATATATATATATATATGAGTCTTTGGTCATTCGGGTTTTCTCCCGTGTAAGATTAGAAGTGTCATAGCGACGTTTCGATGAAATCACATTCATCATCATCAGGCTTGTGCTTTTAGCTTTGTGCTAAAAACATGATCCCTGGGTGCATCCATGCCAAAACAAATAAATAAATAAAACGAACACCAGGGTAAAATCATTAAACTATATGAGTTTAATGCCACTATACAAATGCCACTATATATATATTTGGATAAGTGGAAGTTATTGGTTTTATAATGGCCGTAATTGTTACCTCCTATTTACGGTGGTCAGGCCTGGAAGCAGTTAGCATCGATTGGAAGAGCTATATATAAGAACTGCTTTCAAGATTGTTCCAGTTGCTGTCCTTGCACGGTCGTTAAACATTAAAGCACTTAAAGGAAAATCAAATCTGTTTTCTGGAAGCTGAGAGTCCTGCAGGAGGGACCCGGTAGACAAACCTCGCTTTAAAGAACACACTAAAAAAAATAATAATAATTCCCCATCTGACAGCATTTGCTGCAGAGAAAAGGCTGGGTGTGAGTAAACACTCTTCCT